TCCCCCCTTCCCTTCTCTTGCTATCTCTCCAAGAGGGAGTAGGGACAGGTTTCCAGGCCCCCAGTTGTATACTGTGTGCAAGTTCGACAGATTCAAGGCAAGATATTCAGGGGTTGTACCAACTCGGTTCTTCTTCCATTGAAGAATGGCAGATACACGGATCTGACAGAGAGAAAGCTAGAGAGACCCAAGTTCTCCTTGCATGAATTAGGGGAGGAAAGACCCTTGTTAACAGACCTGGTTAGCTTAGCAATAGCCATAGCCCTTAGACTTAATATACCACTTTAGAGTGCTTCCCAGCCCTCTCTAAGCGGTTTACAGACAGCCTCTTGCGCCCCCCCCCCCCCCAACAATCTGGCTTCTCATTTGACCCACCTCGGAAGGAAGGAGGGAAGGTTGAGTCCACCTTGAGCTGGTTAGGTTCAGATTCCTGGGTGTGGGCAGAATTAACCTACAATACTGCATTCTAACCACCATGCCACTATAGATGCCTTCCTTCTTCCCTTTCCTTCCAATTCCTTCCTTCAGTTTCCTTCTCAGCCCTCTCTAAACTGCATTCTAACCACCATGCCACTACAGATGCCTTTCTTCTCTTCCTTCCTTTCCTTCCATCCCTTCTTCCTTCCTTTCTTCCCTTCTTTCTTCCTTCCTTCCCTTTTTCCTTTCCTTCCTCCCTCCCTTTCCTTCCTTCCTTCCTTCCTTCCTAAGCAATAGCCCTTAGGCTTCTATCCTGCTTCTCAGCCCTTTCGAAGCAGTTTACAGAGTCAGCCTCTTCCCACCCACCCCCCACCCACACAAAACAATCTGGGTCATCATTTGACCTGCCTTGGAAGGAAGGAGGGAAGGCCGAGTCCACCTTGAGCCTGGTGGGATTCGAACTGCCAAATTGCAGGGCAGCTGGCAGTCAGCAGAAGTAGGAGCCCTGCAGTCCTGCGCTCTGACCACTGTGCCCCCAAGGCTCATCCTGGTCTTCGGTGGGGTGGGAAGGGAAGGGAAGGGAAGGGAGCTAACTTCCTTTTGGGGTCTCTTTGCCTGCCCACCAGCACGGGGACATGGACCAGAAGGAGCGTGATGTCATCATGCGAGAGTTCCGCTCCGGATCCAGCCGAGTCCTCATCACCACCGACTTGCTGGCAAGTGCCAGGAGGAAGAGGGGGTTTGCCCTCCCCTCCCTCCTTCCTTCCTTCCCCAGGGAGATTCCCTCTCTGCCTGGCCTGCGGTGCCAATGGCGGATTGTAGCTCCTGAGCAGAAGAACGGATGACCGGAGCTGCTTTGACTCCACGGCCGGCATCATCCCCACTGAGGTGTCCTGTCACTTCGTAGCAGTTCACAGTGGTTCTTTCTCTGGGGCATGGCGACGGTCGTAACTAGTACCTAGCTGCCAATCATCACCTGGATTTTGCTAATTTTGGGGGGGGGGCTGGCAAAGGCCCTTGGCTCCTGTTGAAAGCAGCTGCCTCAATTTCCCTGCAGGCCCGAGGCATCGACGTCCAGCAAGTCTCCCTGGTCATCAACTATGATCTCCCTACCAATCGCGAGAACTACATCCACCGGTCAGTAAAGGCTCTCAAAGGGAGGGGGGCGTTGATGGGGGGGCTCTCCTGTCCTTTCTGCCTGCTCTCAACTCCTTTTCTCTCCAATCCCCCCCTGTGCTCTCAACTCCTCTTTTTCTCTCCAATCCCCCCCTCAGGATCGGTCGAGGCGGACGTTTCGGCCGCAAAGGCGTGGCCATCAACATGGTGACGGAAGAGGACAAGCGCACCCTTCGCGACATCGAGACTTTCTACAACACCTCCATAGAGGAGATGCCTCTCAACGTGGCTGACCTGATCTGAGTTGGCCGAGAGAGAGGGGGGAGGTCACTGTGCCGGGACACCCACCCCCCCCCCTCCCCCCCCTTCTCTCCCCATCCCCCAAATTTAGAGGCACAGTATTCTCCCATTCCTGCCTTTTGGGTTGGGGTGTTTTTTTTCTATTTTTGAGGGCTCCTTTTGATTTTTTGTTTGTTTTGTTTTAATTATTTTGGCCTTTTGAATAAATGTTATTTTGGGGGGAAGTTTATTATTTTTTATTTTTTGGGGTGGGTGTGGGGAGGCAGAACGAAAAATCTTTGTGTTTTACTCTGGGTGCTCTGGCTGTGTCTTGTTCAACCTCTCTTCTCTTTCTTTCCCCCTGCCCAATCTTTCTCTTCTCCCTCCCTCCCTCCCTGTAAAATGCACAACCGGAGTTATCCTTTCTTTCCCCCCCCCCCCTCCTTCCGCCAGGAAAATTAAAAGTAACAAAGAACCCCCCCATTTCAACGGAAAAAAAAAAAGGTTTTAGGTGGGGGGATTTACAAACCTTTCGACAAGAATCATGGTGCTAAAACAGAGGAACTATTTTAGCTTGAGAATCTTTAAAAAAAAAAACCTACCTCAAAACAGGTCATGGTTTTTTTTTTTCTCTCCCCCTGTCTGAAATTCAAAACAAAACCAAATTGCCAAGACATTTTCTCTCTCTTTCTCTTCCTCTTTATACCTATATATCTCTTTCGGAATGAAACCTTTCCTCCCTCCCTCCAAAAATACCCACATTTTTTAAAATAAAACAAAAAAAAAAACTTTTCATACAGCAAAAATTTAAAAAAAATCAGAGATAAGAAATCTGTGTTGCCACCATTCCCTTTTCTTTTTTTGTATAGCTTATTTATTCAAAAGGAAACTTACAGTGACCAAAATAAACGTGATCTTCAGAAAAAGAAAAAAAAAGACCCTTGACTTCGAGTGACTTTTGTTCAATGCGGAGTGGCGGGTATTCCCTGGTTGTGATCACCCAAAGACGTGGCGCAAAGCTCTAAGGCAGTCACATAAGAGTCCCTTTAATAATCATAACAGCTTATCTCCTCTGATGCTAGCTCAACAATTCCTAGGTCCTTGGTTGGAACTCGAGATGTGGAACTACTAAACAGCCCCAAAGGCAGTGAATCTCTCTAAAGATTAATAATAGTAATAATGGTTAGGACGCAAGCTGTTGAGCTACCAACCAGCCCCAAAGGTAGAATCTCACTAAAAACAATGCTTAGGACTCCAGCTATTGAACTACCAACCAGCCCCAAAGGTTGAATCTCACTAAAGATTAATAATAATAATGGCTTGGATTTGAATTGTTGATCTACCAAAAAGCCCCAAAGGTTGAATCTCACTAAAG